GAGGATTAAAGAAGCGCCCACACGAGGGAGATGGAGTCGGCGGCGCGCGAGAAGACAGCCGAGGCCGGAACGAAAGACAGAGCGACTGCGTGTGAACGGGGCCTAAACACCTCGTTCTCCAGGTTCCAGCGGACCTTCGTCCTCCGTGTTTCCCCCTGCCGGATGTTCCTCTTCCGCCGAGGGGCGCGCAGGGGGAGAGGGAACGCACCACCGAGTGCACTCGCTCGGGGGACGGAGAGCGCGATTGCTGCTCTCGCGAGGAGGAGCTCGGCTGTCGCCTCGAAGGCCAAAGCCCGACAGAGACAAAGGACGGCTCGGAGTTTCCATTAGCGTTGCGCCTCGGAAAAACGACTCGCCTCGCCGACTAAGCGCTCGCTATTATGAATAACCGCAGACTTTTTTGTACCATTAACGGAGCGCACGGGCGGACCGGGATGATTTCTTAACCCGTAGCCAGCACGATCGTCCAGTGGGAACGTAACGATCGATTGCCAGACGAGCGAGTTCTTTGGCTGCTGGAAAAGTTGTTTTTTTCTCTCTTCCGAGCAGCCTATTGGCGAATAGGGTGAATTGTTAATCACGCGCGCTCTAGAACCATAGGCAGAAGGGATATTATGCTTGGCGTTCTAACGTGACGTCGCAAATATCGGATCTCCCCATTCGTGCCTTCGAATTCCTCGCCAATAAACTGTGCCGTAAAGGGAAAAAGGGATTTTGCCCTAAATGTGGAAGGTTTGCGTGCCAAAATGCAGTGCTGAAAAATGCATCGAAAAATGCTTATTTGACATAATACTCTCGTCTTCGCAGCTTTCCCTTTACTTCACATATGCAATTATTATGCACTTAAGAGAGCGTAGAATACCCACCATCGTCCCGTTAAACTGCTCTACCGACCGAGCATGCCTGTAAACAATTTTTCAATATAGAATATTTTTTTGACCGTTACGATACTGCAGTATTAAACTATCGTAAACAAAAGTTTTTTTTTTTTTTTAATACAATCGAGTTCTTACGCAAATTCTCATATATATATATATATATATATATATTTAATTTTTTGATTTTATGTTTTATAATTTTTCGATTTTATAATTTACAATTCCTATTTTATTTTACATTTTATGCGTATATTTATATATTATTACATTATATATTATGTATGTCGAAATTATTATTTTACTCAATGTCCTTTAATAAATGAAATAACTTGAAAGGAATTCTCATGTATAAGCCATGAATTCACAATGGGACCTTAATACTCAAAGGCATCAAATTGTAATTTGTCATTTACAATGCTTTAATTTTAAAAGCATTAATGATTTCGCAGATTCACAAATACTCATATTTGTTAATTCTATCGTGCAATGATACATCTTTTGATGATACGACTACAATATACAATGTCGCGTTCATGAGATCTTTTTTCGGACCAAAAACTTTATTAATCTTAAAGTATACTTTGACATTACCATGTAAAATCTGCTGAGCTAAATAAATTTTTTGAATTTTATTTGAATTTCTGATTTTCGTTATATCATTAAATATAAATTAAAAAAATTTATTACCTGCGGATACTCATTATTAATTTATATTATTCATTTGATACTTATCGAGATTATTTTATACAAAATTTTGAGATGTCACGGACCCTGTTCATATATCAGAAAATTTCATATAAATGTTCAGAGGACGTAAATTCAGTTGATAAAATTATGCCTCGATGGCTTCTACGCATACTTGGCTAATTTATAAACAATACACGAAATCAAACCACGATATTGATAATTTAATTAAATTATTTAATTGTTATATAGTTTTATTTTGAATGTCCTGACATTCATAAACAGTTACAAAAAAATTCTGAATAGTATACAAAAAAAAAAAATCAGCATTCTCAATATGTATCACAATCAATGGCGATGACAATGACTTTAATAGGATAAAATTAGTTAATTATAAATTAAATTCATGTAGACTTCCGTTATTTACAATACAATATACATGAAAAAAAATTTATCAAAAGGAGATGTAAAATTTTTTAAGTAAAATAAAAATATCACTTATATATCGTTGAAAATATTTATTACAAATTGAAGAATAAGCGATCGTATGTTCAACACTATATCTTTTATATTTTGACTTTCATTATAGATCTGAGGTACACATTACATGAAATAAAAAATATAACACATTTTAATTGAATATCTTATGATGTAAAAGCAGCAAATATGTAGTTAAAACGTGGTTATTTTTATGTATAGTGACGTTTTAAATTTCACGTAATTAAAATGAAAAGCAACGTATACAATGGAAATTTATAAAAATTCGAATTTCTATAAAATAGCCGTAATTAAAAATTTTTTTTGCGCAAGTATTACAATGTCGATTAGATTTTCTTAATGTCTCAGTGTACAGTTATAATTGCCGTTACCACGATTTCTATTGTATATAATATAGGATGAAAACATTATGAAAATATCACCTAAATAAAAAACAATCCAATTTCGTAAATATTGAATGGATATTTGCTGTTAAGGTACTATCGGCAATCTATATATATATATATATATATTTATCCGTGTATTTGTACGATCTGTGTATATTAAATAGCGTATTTAAAGCATGTGAGTTATTAAATATGTTTAATACGCTATAGACACTAATACTAAAGTTGAATACTAAATTGTGTACATCCATTGCGTTCATTTAAACGTGCACAATTTTATTCAATATAGAGTGCTTAGAACACAAAATACCATTAAAAAAAAAGAAAAAAAAAAAACTCATAGAAGAAATGTAATATTTGAATTTTATTGAAATATTGTGATGACAGCGATAATGTGTATATAATGCAACTTTGGGTAGAATAATGACAATGATGCATTCAATTTTAAATAACTGTATTCTCAGAATTCTTAAATACAATCAGTCATAACTGAAAACTCTATACGTAGTTATTACGGTACTCTCGGTTTTCGGAACGTACCTTTAATATGCCCTTCTCTATTTCTGACGTACTCATCGACATTTGTCCCTCTCGTCGAAACGGCCAATGCGAAGTATCCGAACGATTGATGTTAATTTGTTGTGTTGAACGTTGTTGGAGAAGGTCGGTTGGGTCTGTCGAAATTTTTCATGTAGTCTTGTGAGTATTTACTTGTGAGTATAATTTTATTATATAATCTCATATACATATATATATATATATATATATATATATATATATATATATATATATATATATATATATATATAAATATATATATATATATAAACTCTTCATCTTTGCACATCTATTGATATTGGCACGACTGTGTTCCACTATGATTTACTTAATAATTAGTGAAAAATTTGTGAATTACCTCTCGAGGGTATTTACTATCAAATTTTAATATTAAGATGAACAGAATGAATTATTCATTAACTAAAATAATTATTTTAGCTACGTTTTATTGGTCAATATCTGCATTACAATTTTGTAAACACAAGAGATTAAAAAAGTATAGGCTGCAGTTTATGTTTATATTATCATTTAAATTATTTCAATCCAACGTAATGGAAATAAATCCTTTGCTAAAATTTGTTTCAAAGGATGATGAAATTCAGTACTGGATGAATGTCGCAAATCAAATGTATCAAAGGTATACACACACACACACACACACACACACACACACACACACACACACACACACACACACACACATATATATATATATATATATATATAGATTCGTACATATACTACCGTCAGTTTTGATATACAATTTTGTAAGCAAGTAAATTATCGACACAAAATTAAACTAATTAGTGAATTTAAATTAAAGAAAGGAGGATGCGGAGCAAGAGTTGCAGGAATATCAAGTACATTCACAGTTGCTGGAGAGGGAATTGGAGACATCTTTCAATCAATCTGATAGAAGGAATTGTGAATTACATAAAATTAATTATAAACTGACAGTAGATAACGAAGATCTAAAAAATCGTCTCGATGAACAAATTCAAATATACAGTACCCTACAGTCGGACGTTCAAAATCTTAAAATATATAATGAAAATCTGCTAAACCGTATTCGAAAATTAGAGCAAAACAATGATGATTTAGAACGATTCAACAGGTATATATATATATATATATATATATCAAATATTTTATACTTGATTCGTTTTATATCAATTTATTTTAATTGTGTTTTTCGTACGATTTGTGCTTAGAGAAAAAACAGTATCAGGAGAAGAATTGGAATCTCAATTTAACATGACTCTTGAAAAACTTGCATTCCTCGAAACTGAAGTAGATGAAATTGAAAGTTTAAAATGCATTGTTCAACGATTACAAGAAGAAAATAGAGGTATCACGAATTTAAAAAAAAAAAAACAAAATATATATATATATATATATACCGTATTTAATGTACTCAGTGCTAAATTTATTTTGTCTTATAGATTTAAGGCAACAAATACAAGTTGAACATCAACAACGGAATATGAATATTCAAGAAGATACGGAGAACGGATATTCACAATTAGTCTGTTCTGCACTTCAAAGTGATAACAAAAAATATATAATAAATAATGAACAGATAGACGAACAAGAAGGACAGGAGGGTAAAGTGATGCCATGTGATATATTAAAGTATGTACGCGAGTTAGAACAAACAATCGAGTGTTCACAACAAGTGCATAGGTAAACTTCAGGCTCCTTTCATTTTTATTATATAATAATATTACGTTCTACATCGATACTCAAAATAATTATATATAAAGTAATAAAATTTAATTTTAAACTTCATATATGTATTATATAAGTTGTAAATAACGTACAGTATATTATTAACTATATGTACTTTTCCTTTTACAATGATACACTTTTACTCTTTAATATGATAATAATAATAATAATAATAATAATGATAATGATAATGATAATAATAGTAATAATATTGTAATACGATTTCCTTTAATCAATGTTCTAAAAGAAATTACATTTACAAACATAAATATCTTTTCCGTCTATGAATGAAACGTTCTTACGGTTCAACTAAAAAATAAGCAAATTTATTTAAATAAGCAATAAGACTGAATTTTAATACAAAGTTTTCTCTACATAGTGCAACTAAAGCATCGGAAGAAAAGCTAAAATGCAGATTAAATACAGCCATTAAGAAGATAGCGTCACTAGAGAATGCATTGAACGAAAAAGATGGTTATACTACTAATACAATTCGGCGAATGAAGGATGAAAAGAGAGGTAGATATAAATGCCGTTTATGAGCAATTTTGTGCGAAATTATTTTAACTAATCGTGTAAATGGCTTCCAGATATGTCACAGGATGTTGATGTGCGACTGCGCAGACATAAGGATAAGAATATTGATAAGAATCCTCGTCCACGTTCCGACTCCAATAAGGATGATATTCAACGAAATTCCAATTCGAGTCGTTTAGGTCGTCACATCGAGAATAGAGTGAAGAAGGTGAAAGAAGAGGAAAAGCGACAACAAAATCTAGTATGGTTCTTGAAACGGTGGCGGTATTCTCATCTGAATTGGTTACGCAAACGGGAACAATAGAGAGTTGTCACGATAGTTTGTTTTTCTTTTTTTTAAATTTTTAATTTTTTTATCTTGGCATTGAACGCTTATGATTTAGAATTGAATTTTTCCATCTCGTCAACTTCACGATTCGCACATTTTCTCTATTATAAATACATATTTTATCTCGTATGTTACGAAAACATACCGAATATTCTTAATGGTCTTTTTTGAGAAGATGTACATATATATATATATATATATTTTTTTTTTATGATCAATGATATTAATGATAAAGATGAAGTACAAAATGCATTTTGTATTTCATTGGTGTATAAACGTTCTATCGTGATGATTAATTTTATTTATTTCAAGTAAATTGTTTACATGGCATTATTTTGTTGTAGCGGCCTTATTAAAATACGTTAGACAATAATACATACGATTTAATTTGACATTGTTTTACTTTATACTATTGATTACAACTTTTTAGTACTGAGAATAAAGTTAATCCAAAGGTCCTCGATTTGTATAAACAATCGTATGTACTCTTTCCATATTTAGTAAACATAAGATGAAAATAAAAGCCTTGATATTTATTAATAAAAAAATTAATTGCACGTGATTATGTCGAGTAAATTCAGCCGTTAAATACGTATGTGCTTTGTTCGTTTTGACGAGAGAATTTCTTTTCATTAGTTCTAAATGTATTATATAAGGAGAAGTAACTGTACTTTCCCAAGTTATGATGCAACTGAAATATCTTCTGCTTTTGAAGAGCGT